GAAACAATTTACAAAATTACAACCTAATTATAATTTACTTCAACACAAACTTTTTAATGTACCATTAACCAGAATCAACATTACAAAACAATCTTCGACGTAGATTCGTAAAGAATAAAATTAAATGAAACGTTCACAAAACCAAAAAATTTAAGTGACGTGACGTAGACGTTCGCAAAACAATTTGGTAGTCACCGGAAGAAATGAAAGCCAAAAGTATAAAAACTGACTCAACTACTTCTTCCGTGCTTGCCTCCTACCCCTAGTGTATGACGTCCTGATCGATGCTGCAGGCATTCGAAAGCGCATGGAAAGCCGTCTGTGAATAGGGACCGCATTAGCCTTAACTGGGTCTTCAGTAGTACCACCTATGGAACCGCAACAATAGACAAATAGTTAGTTCGGAATAAGGCAATAAAATTTGTGTATGTCCTCATGTACACGAGAAGCTATCGGACGATTTGGGTAGGCGGAAGTGTAGTGTGAAGAAGTTACCTTCCACCTCCATCACCCTGCAGCGGTCGACGCGTCGTCGCTCTTATTGCCATGCTGCTCCACTTCGACCTGGCCACACGTTTCTCCTACAACTAGTGTTCCTGCCACTACGGAACAAGTGAAAAATAAAGTGCAATAATCTCCTTATAAGGTACATGAGGTCGGTGAAATAAACTTAAATGTAACATCATTCAAGCGGAAAGATGAGCATTCATTCCAATTACGGTTAGTCAGAGTTAAACTAATCAGAAATTAAAAAAAGCATAAACATAAACGTACCATTCAATTCAGGGTCTTCACCACCCAACGTGACGTCATGTTCTTCCGACATGTGCTCAGTATCAAGGCCAAAGTCGTCTTCATAACTTGCAAATTGTTACAGTAAGTCGTCTTACACATAACTAGCTCTGAACTAGAAGTTATGAGACAATTTGCACACGTACCTCACGGTGGTTGTGGGGAATGTATAGGGTCGTTTCGCACGTCATTCGAACTTGCAGATGCGATGGAAATGGGAGGTGCCACTACTGTCAATATGAATTCCCGAAGTCTGGTGCATGCAGCTGTAACGTGCTCAAATATTTCAAGTTTCACGGTTCGGAGTCGCATCTAAAATAGGACTCTTTGATCCAACAACATGTCCTCGATGTCCGATCTTGTCAACACACATCCCAATTGTACA